CTATATGGCCATGTTCTAGAAACATTCTCTCCTGACGTTTCGCCTGCATCTATGGCAAGCATCCTCAGAGTTGCAGGTGAAATGTCATGAGAGAATGCTTCTAGAACATGGCCATATAGCCTGAAAAACCTACAACAAACCTACAACTTTAATTCCATTTGGCCCAGCCATAGATTTTAAATGTGTTTTGTGCTATTGTTCAATGTTTATGCTATTTATGTATGAGTTTTATTTTTAATTGCTTTGTAGTAGTATTTGTATTTTGCTTTGTATTGTGGTTGTTACTGCATGTATTGATGTATTGTGGGCTTGGCCTCATGTAAGCCGCACCGAGTCCCTTGGGAGATGGTAGCGGGGTATAAATAAAGTTTTATTATTATTATATAGCCCGAAAAACCTACAACAACCCAGTGATTCCAGCCATGAAAGCCTTTGACAATATACTGCAAGTTGCTTCTGGCGTGAGATAATTGGTCATCTACAGAGATGTCGACCAGGGGATGTCCATATGTGTTACCATCCTGCTGGGAGGCTTCTCTCATGTCCCTGCAAGCTAGAGCTGTCAGATGGGAGCTCACCCTGTCTCAAACTCGCACCAGGAACCTTCAGGTTAGCAACCCAACCTTCAGGTCAACATTGCACCACCACGTCTCTGAAATCTTACTGCTTTGGAACCTGAAGCAGAGGGCATGTGAGAGGGAAACAGTTTCGGTTTCCTACCAAAGTTTTCTGGTACTATACACTGTACACAGATTGTGCCCCATTCCCAGAGGTAAATTCTGGTACAACTTAACAGAGGGCCCATCCAGACAGGCCTTTTATCCCAGATTTTCTGCTTTAAACTGGATTATATGAGTCCACACTGCCAGATAATCTGGGATAAACGGAAAAGCTTGGATCAGATCCTGGGCCTGTCTGGAAGGGCCCTGAGAAGGCTAGGAGTTACTGTTACACCATCTCACCTTGATTTTCATAGTGCTGGGAGCCAAAGCTGTAATTTCCTTCTGCATCCGGTCAGCAATCCCAGGGTACATGGTGGTGCCCCCAGAGAGGACGTTGTTGGCGTAGAGGTCCTTCCGGATGTCAATGTCGCACTTCATGATGGAGTTATAAGTGGTTTCATGGATACCTGCAGACTCCATTCCTAGAAGGACGGTAAGAATGTGAAATTACTGAGAAGCAAAATCAAGTAGTGAAGGGTGACACTGAAGGAGGATGTCTCAGAGACAATAACAGTAGTACCATAGCTCAAAGCTTAATCTGTGCATTGGACCCCAAATGAATCATAGAGTTGGAAGAGACCTCATGGGCCATCCAGTCCAACCCCATTCTGCCAAGAAGCAGGAAAATT